CAAGAATTTCCAAATCAGTGTTTGCCACCGCAAAGTAAAAAAAAAAAAAAAAAAAAAAAAAAAGACGCTAAAATTTCCTATACTTAACCTCGACTGACGAAAAAAAAAAAAAAAAAAAAAAAATAAAATAAAAAATAAAATAAAATTAATAATAATAAAATCCTTTAATCTTTCCTCTTAATAAAGAGTTTGACGATAAAACTGTTTTAATTACGTTTGGGGCATTTTTCAACATGTAAGCTATTTTTTTTTTTTTTTTAGCGAATCAGTGGAGGTACCTACCTCTCTATAATAATGTAAATTGATAGTGTTACTGTTATTAAATAATTTTAATCAAGAAGAGATAGGAGGAAAAATGGGATTCCCGAACGCAGTAAATTCGAGAAGCCGGGTATGAACTTTTCTAAAGATAATTTTATAAAAATTAAAAGAGTTTAAACAAATACATCGAAACAAAATAACACGAAAGAAAACTAGAGACACCCAATGTAAAGGTTGAAGAAAAGAAAAAAGAAAACCCTTAAAAACTAAAAGAAACTTTAATTGACTCATTTGTAGTAGTAGTAGTAGTAGTAGTAGTGGTGGTGTTGATCGGGCTGCCAGACCCCACCCCCACCCAACTCATAAAAGCACGTATTTCAAAACAGATATCAGTAAAATGTGTATTATTATTATGAGAGATAATTAAAAATAACAGCAAACATGTGCACTGATTGTTTGCGTGTTTTACAGCCATAAGTAAAAAAAAAACAAAAAACTATTGTTTGCAATATTAAAAAAAAGAAAGAAAATGAAACGTATGATTCTGTAGTCAAGGTTAAATGGACAACAGATTTGCAATTGTTAGCGTGTCAATTTTTTTCTATTGCGTTAAAAATGGGAATTGGTTAGGGACTAAGAGAAAAAAAAAAAACAAGAAAAACAAACTTAACCACCACCACCAATGAAGAAGACTCTTCTCCACAAGATCTTTGTGTTTTTTGGGGTTTTTTTTTAAATCAAAAACCTGGTCCCTTTCTTCATGAGGTGAAATTAGAAATTATTAGATCTTATTCAAATTACGTTGTTTTTCGCATTTCATTTCTTTCAGTGATGTTTGCATTGTGTAAAGAGTTGTGAGTAGGCCTATTATTCGTTTTATATTGGGCGGGGCGGGTCGATGACCACTACACAACCAAACTCGGCATGTACGTAGATTTATCAAATGTTGTTAATTTACATTCAAACTAGGAAATACATCTTGATTGTTATTTATATATTCACAACGTTTCTTACGTTATTCTTCCGGCCATTTTAAAGTGTCTGTTATACACATTAAAATAAAAAGCTTTTTCAGAATTTATTCGAATCCATGTGTGTAAAAAAAAAAAAAAGCTAGAATATGGATTCGAACAATCTTCATTGTTCTAATTCAGTTTTGTAGACTTACTTATTTCTTCCGATTGAACTTAAAAATAAAACATCGAAGTTAATTAACTAAATCCTTTAAAAATCTAAGCCATGTAACATGAACGTGTCATTAATAACTTAACTGTTAGAAAATCCTCCTCCTCTAAACACGGAAAACAATGAAAACACTATCCTCGAGAATTGAATAAAGAGTTAAGTTTTAAAAATAAAACTGAGGATTCTAAGTACGGCAGACATCACCTGAAGAAGGCAAAAAAGGTACAACGGCCGAAAGAAAATGATGATCAGATAGTCTGATTGAATGATGAAATTCAATTCCGACAAAGAATTTTAGGGTGTTGATAAACCTATTCCGTAGAGAAAAAGGATTTTCTCTTTTTATTCCGCATCTTGTAAAGGTGCTTCCTAAAACATTTTGAATTTGAACTTTATACACACACACACAAAAAAAAAAAAAAAAAATAGTATTTTCATTTTCCTTTCCTAAAGAGTGGCACGGTTAAAAAAAAAAAAAAAAAAAAATGGTTATTTTCCAAATAAGTAGATTAACATTTTTAGAATATTTATCAGAGTTCACAAGTTATACAAAAAACTAAAAATTAACAAAGACACTCAAGAGAAGACAGTTGTTAAAGTGTAAAAATGCTCCTGTCTGTTTTTTTGTTTTTTTCTTTTTACGATTGTGGGAGTGGGGTATAAAAAATACCACAAAGGTATTCAATGATTCATTCATTTGAAACTTTCAGCAAGTGACAATGTAATTTAATTTATAGGAGTTTGATTTTTTAAAAAAAGAAGGAAAAAAAGTTTCAACACATCTGAGCCAGAAATATTTTAAGCTTAAAAATCAAACAAAAAACAATAAAAACCCCGGTCAAACTCAAAGGCGAAGGACGATTTGAGTTTCAAAATATTTTATTTTTCAATGTCAACAACCACTGCGAACTAAAATTAAAGATAAGAAAAAACGGGTACAGAAAAATGAATTCTCTCGAAATTTACCTCATATTTTGTATCAAATACAAATTTAAAGTGAATTATTTTTAGAAAAAAATAAATAAATAAAAGAGATAATGACTTTTTTTTTTTTTAAATATCACAGGAAAAAAAAAAAAAAAAAAAAAAATTACTAGCAAGAAGAAACTAATTCACTGTTGCAGGTTTTTCATGATCATTTTTTATACACAGGTAATTTTGTTTTTTTAATGACGTTTGGTTTAATATGCATTTTCAGCAGCCGGTTGCACTTATGCACATCAAGTAAATTAAATTTTTTCTGGAGGTGCTAAAAAAATTCAGGGGTCGCAATACAATATCGTCTTATACACGGTAACACGAGTATGTACGGTACTACACAAGTTTATTTCTGGTTTTAAATTTTTATGATTCATTATTTTTGGTTTTAAAACAAACCAAAATTTACTAGATAATCCCAACCAATTTCTTTTAGTTTTTTAGCTTACTTTTCAATTGATGCGAAAAATACAGAGTGAATTCCTAGAACAAAAAAATTGTTCATAACATACAAACAATTGATAAGAATCATATTTCAGAGCAAAATAATGTTTAAAATATCAAGATTCAAGAAGAGGGACAGAACAAAAAACATTTTTACTAAACACAGAAACAGAGTTGTAAGAAAATAATCAGAGAAAGATTAAGTTTCAGTCAAGTTTTTTTTAAGTACTACACCAAAACAAAAGTTTTTTTTTTCTTTTTTAGTTTATTTTAATTTTAAAAAGATTGAAGAAAAAAGTGCATTCTTCTTGCCAGTATTAGACTTACTACTTTCGTTTTTTTGTTAAAATAAATCGTTGTTACGAATTATTAAATCAATTTTGTTTGTCTAACGAATTTACGAACAACAATCAGATAATACTTATTTTGTTGCATTTTTCTTTAGAAACCATCGATAAAATTAATTCTGCTTCCTAGCCAATAAGACATTTTTAAAGCAAGTGACCAACTAGTTATTGCAAATAACATAAAATTCGATTTTTATGTGTTATTGATTGGAAGACATTAAATATTTTTGAAAATTTATCATAACATTCGAGAAACTAACAAGTCGTAATGATGTTTCTTGACGACGGCAATAAAAGAAGAAATTCATTATGAATCTGGATATGATTCTCTGAAGAAGACAATTGTATCCAAATTCTTTGATATTTTAAGTGGCAAATTAGTTAATGTAAGATGAAAAAAATTGTAGATAATTTTGCTTAGAGATAAAAAATCGCTAGGCCAAATTTGCGGGGGTTATTAAAAAACAAAAAGGAGGGGGCGGTATATACCAAAGAATGGTTAAAACATTTTCCTCTCGATCAAAAAAAAAAAAAAAAAAAGGGATTTTATCTCCCCCCCCCAAATGTATTACAATCTGAATCACATATCAGTCAATGGGAAGAAGCTAAACATGATGTTTTTTTATGTTTTCAGTTCAATTTCTTTCGGTCGTATTGTCATTGACATGAAGAGTCCGTTTTTTTTTTTTTGTCGCCTCACAACCAAAAACCTACGGGATGATCATTTTTTTCTTTTCAAATTATCTTCTACAATCTACCAATAAATGAGCAATAATGATGCATTATTATTATTATTTATGGATACTGAAATTCACCTCCTACTATAACTTTTGTAACCTCTTTTTTTTTTTTTTTTTTTTTATTTGAGCGGGGGTGCCCCTACACACGCACACACAACCCCCCCCCACACAAAATACCTTTTTAATCTTACTAGAGTCTTCTTTTTTAATAACACCTACCTGTCCTACCAACAAAAAAGGTGGGGAGGTGAAATTCAAACTTTATTTATTTATTTTTATTTCTTCATCCATTTTTCAAAATCTGTATGATTAATAAAAAAAAAAATACAAAAAACACCTTTACTTAACCGTTAAACGAAACTCCACTTTTTATACGAAAAAGTTTCCGAAATTAAACAAAAATAATTTTTATAAGCGAGTTACTTATATATTTTTTCTGATAGATAAAAACGAAAAATATAATCAAACAAAAAAGCAACTACCACATTTTTTTTCATATAAAAATATTTTTTTAACATAGTAAAAAAAAAAAAATGTAGGAGCAACATAAAATGTAAAAAAAATAAAATAATAAAACGAAGAAATAATAATGTTATAATGAATTTAATATTTTTTTTATTTTAGTGGGGAACCAAGAAAGACTTGCTGAAAACAAATTAAATAGAAAAGAATTTAACGAATAAAATAAAACGCAGAGAGTTTGAAGAAAACATTCAGATTAAAACGGATGATGAACAATGGTTTTTCAATAAGTTCAGGATTAATTTTTAAGAGATATATAATAATTAAAGAACCCCCTCAAAAAACAAGTCTTAATAAATGGTTGTCGACATCAGAAGACATACAGTGAATGAGTCAGATAAGAGAGATATGAGATTGGCCCACCATACCGGCTCCTCTTTGTTGGGAATTAGCTACGCCAATAAAAATCAACAAAATTTGCTTATGAGTCCAGAAATCAACGACAAACACTTTTCATTCATAAAATATAACGAAACATATCGTTTAACGTGTTAAATTAGTAAAACAAGAAAAGCTTACTAACCACAAGGGTCGTCTGCCATACTTGACGATGTTAATTTTTTTCAGAAACAAAACTGCATCAAATCAGATTAGTTTCGTATAATTCCTATAAACATAGCAATTTATCTTCGTACGTTCATATAGAGATTAAAAATTAAACTGTCTAAATTTAATGCTATCGAGGTTATTTATTCTTTAATGAAGTATCATAGGGAATTTGGATAAATTTTAAAAATATACTAATATACGTCTTGTGTATCAGATACAAATTTCACTGTTCAACGTTGCTTTTAGTCGAAGGAGGAGGAGGAGAAAAAACAAAAAAAAAAACACTAATTACTTCCCTTGGATCTTTCACGCTTATTTATTTATTTATTTTTTTTGTATAACCTTGCAAAGCCTTTCCCCACTTTGAAAAGTATAAATAAAATCAATTTTATTTCTTTTCACATCTATTACTTTTTTATCCTGGATACAAAAAGTTTTTCAAAAGTTAAAAAAAGAAACTTTTAACTTTAGATTTTCATTTTTTTTTATATATTTTTAATTTTGTAACCTGAATCATCTCATTTTTTTTTACTAAACTAAAAAAAACTTCCTATTTAATTTTGATAAAAAAATCTGATGCACAGAAAATGAAATAGAGATATTTTTCTGAGACTTTTCAATCAGTAAAATTATAGCTAATAATTACATGACTATCTTCGTAGAAACACGAAAATAAGTTAACGTAACGATAACATTATTTTTTGTCATTAAAAAATTTGTTACCTTTTTAAAAGTGATAAAATAAATAACTTAAAATAAAAATGAATTAGTGCATAAAATCGAATTAAGATTAATTCTTTTTAATTTTTATGAAATTTTCTTGATTTTATAAAGAATGTTTTTAAATTCATAAAAAAAGATTATTTGTATTTTAATTTCTGGACTAATTCTAGTCTTAATAAGAAAGTCATCTCTTAAAGAAAGATATTTCTTTACTTTTTTTTCCGTCGGTAAAACTAAAAAGTAAAAACAAAATGCGCGTTTTAAATTAAACAAAAAAAACTGATGACTTAAAAAAAATGAATATATTTTATTAATTTTCCTTGAAATAACGGATAAAACTTTTCCCTATGACACTGATACAAGTATTAATTAAATAAATAAAATCTTTATTTCCAATTTTTCCGCACATGATGGTCTACACCCGCGAAACTAATAATTAGGTCATGACCTCAAATATATTCATGACCCAAATGTATGTCGCGACCTTGAACTGAAAAAAGGTTATGAGCAGTGTATTTTCTTTTGATTTACTCATATTATTTTAATTTTATATTGTTAATTCCGACACAGCCGAATGCGGTTAGAAAGACTGTATCGATGAATCGTCTAAGTGGTGAAATTATGCCTGTCTGTGTAGAGAGTAGTTCGCAATCATAATCCGTGATTTTATATACCTACCTGGGTTCAAACACCGGCCACTGACAATAACGGGAATTAGTACGTAACTATGTCAGTCACGAAGCAACTCGTTTTTTAATAAAAAGAGAAATAAAACATTTTTACGGGTGTGGTTTACGTTGTGAAATATTTATTTCTTAGTTTTAACTTTCATGAGACAAACGAATGCCTTAAAATTAAAAATGATTATTCTTTTTATCTGTGGAGGGACTGGATGCCTAGACGAAAAAAACTGAAATATTTTTTAAAAATTAAAAAAAAAACTTTAAATAAAAATGTGTGAATAAAAGTAAAACGGTTTTCCTTAATAATAAAGATGATAAAAGCCTAAAAGGGGTTTCTGTTCTGCATTTCTTTTTCGACTAAGGATTTTGTAAGGATCCTTTTTTTTTAATAAGAAAATAAAAATAAAAATAAAACAATTTTTAATAATTTTTAAAAACAAATAACATTAATAATTGCAGGGAGAGAACTTCTCAAACAAACCATTATTCATAGCAACATAAAAAAAAAAAGTAGCCAACAATTATACGAAACAAACGTGAAATTAGTTTTCATAATTTTTTTTTCTGGGCAATACCAATTTCTTTAATAAGTTTGTTCTTCGTAGGAATTCATGTCTGTCTGTCGTTCTATCTATTTTCCTGTCCTTAATTCTTTTCATATCTGTCCATCTGCCTGACTACGTATCTATCTTTTTGTCTTTCTAATTTAGCCAATTCTTTGAATCCCCCTCTCTTTCTTTCTTGCTCGTTCTCTCTCCCTCTCTCGTCGGGGTGGGGGGGACTAAATACTGTTTTCTCTCCCTCTCTTTCTTTTCGTTGGTGCAGGGTTCTAAATTTGCGTCTGGTTAGCTTTAAACTATGATTTCAAATGCTGATTTTTAAGGCCGGTACTCTATAGAAACTATGAATTATTCTTAAGAAGAATAAACAATTAATGATTTGCACTTATAGCCATGGTTGTAATTTTTTAGTTTCTCTTTGTTATTTATTTAAACTTTTATTAATTAATTATTTCTAAAAACAAGAAATAATAAACTTAAAAAAAACACCTCTTCAGTTTTTAACTTTTATATTACAAACACATGCCTTGTTCATTAAGTTTCGCGGTGAAATAGTGTTTTTTTTTACTGGGTGTGTATTTTTATCGTAAAATATTTTTCTTCTTTGAATGACTATGACATTCATAAAATTTCAAGTTAAAAAAAAGATAATTTCCCAAATAAATTAATTTTTTAATTTATTTGGAAAATTAATTTTTTTTTTTTTTGTAAATTTTCAGATTCAATTTACAAAAATAAATTTATTTGACTTTATGTTCGTTTTTGTCAGCCCATAATTTTTAACCTAAAAAAAAAAAAAAGATAAAGGTCCACCCCCCCCTCTTCGACTCGGAAAAATGGAGTGGTTAAGAAAATCACTCTAGACCACAACCTAGGTCATTTTAACTCAATAAAATAAACTTTTTTTCGTTTTCTTTTTCCACACTAATATTTAATTTTTACATATTTGTTTAAAGGCGCAAAATGAGGGCCCAGTTTAGTAATAAATTTATACTGCAAATTTAAATTGAAAATTCGAATCAGTGCAGTGCACAAACACAGAAAGGTAAAAAAAAAAAATCGTAGTTCCACTTTTCTTGAGAGTCATTTCGTTTGCTTCAGTTTTAAAAATTTGCCTTTCCGAGAAAGTGAACAAAATCCCAAGGTAAAAAACATAATTTTTATAAAGAGATAAGAGAGAAAAAGAATTGTAGAAAATATTATTTTTTTTTTTTAGCTTTTAACCAAATCTTTACCATCTAGTTTCAAAATTGTGTTCATAAAATTGCATTTTTTCTTTAGAAGTCTGTATTTGTCGTAAAAAAATACCAATTTCACAAATTTGGGAGCATCAAAATTATATATTTTTTATTTTATTTTTATGCTTATCAATTAATGTCCTCTAGTACCAATTAATTAAATGCCCTCCAATACTAACATGGTAATGTGGTTCGGTACAAAACAACTTCATTGCGAGTTTTTTTGTAACTTTCAATTTTATTACTTAGACAATTTTTTATTTTACGTTTTTTTTCTGCTGTCGGTATTTCTATTTTTTCACATTATTATAGCTTTGTCATTTACTAAGGGCTTTAGAACAAGTCCACAAGTATGGGGCACCCAGTGCAGATCGAATTCATTAATGATCATCAAGGCCAGGGTTGAACTAAAAAAATATTTTATTTAAACCACTTTGGCGTCCATAGCTACTCCTTTGTTACTTAACTGCTATTGATATTTTACTTAACAAAATAAACAAATTCTCACATAAAGTTTTAAACTCAACTTGAAATTGAAGGAATAACAACATCAACAAAAATCTCAATATCTAACTTGGTTAATTTTTCCAAGCAAATTAAAAGATGGTAAGTTTTATGGGGTTACAAAGACATTCCAATGTACAACAAAACGCATACTTATGAACGAAATGTCATAAAGTTTGAAGTCTGTTAAAAAAGAGTGGTTTAAAAAATAAAAACTGTTTAGTTTCTTTTTAAATGCTTTTTTTTTTATACTTGACTAATGTACCTAGTGATACACACTCATGTTATGTTGAGTTTAGATTCAGACTTCTTTGTTACTTTGACAACAGTAAAATGCTGCAACATTTTTCTAAGGTCAAATGATTTTGGTTGCAAGGTGTCATATTTCCACATTTGATAACAAATGAATAAATTGACCAAAATGAAACAACAGAAGAAAAATAAACAAAATAACATTTAAATTTTATATACAATATAATTTAATGAATGTCTGTGTTACAATATGTGTATGTAAGAAAAAAAATATGAGAAAGCTGAATTGTTTAGTGTGTAAAGAAAAAGAATTCATAACAACTTTGTAAAAAGAATGGATTGGAATGCAATTTCTTTTAAGTTGGACAAGATGTCCTTGCGGATTACAAAGTCTGTAAAATTGGAAGGTAGAGTTTCCTTTGCACAGGCATATGGGAATTTTTTTATAGGTAACCATGACATATTTTGAAAGGATATTAGAATAATCCAGAACCTATACTAGCAGCAATTTTGCCTGCAGCCAGATAGAAAATGAGTTCAGTAAATATGAAAAAATAGGAAGAGGTTTAAGACAAGGATGTGTCATCTCACCAGATCTTTTCATTCTAATTAGTGAAGTGATACTGAGAGAATTAGTCCTACTAGCATTCTTTATTAGTGGCCACAATCTTAACAATATATGATAGGCAGAAGGGTTAAAGTTGTTCAGGAATGCAGGGCTCAAAGGGTTTATGTTGGCATTCTTAATTTTTTTTCTGTCTTGTCAACAAGATCTGTGCATTCAATATTACTGTCACGTGTAACTAGGTTTTATGGACTATGCAAAAGTGTTTGATCAAGTACGTCACAAAGAACTAATGGAACTGTCAGGTAAACTTGACATATGTGGAAAGGATATTAGAATAATCCAGAAACTCTACTGGCAGCAAACAGCCTGTATACAGATAGAAAATGAATTCAGTAAATATACAAAAATAGAAACAGATATAAGACAAGGATGTGTCTTCTCACCAAACTTATTCAACCTATACAG